TTTATTTATTTTATTTTTTTTTTACCTTCATTGATATTCTTTCGTCATCAATAAGGCTTGCTATTTTCACATGCTTGTCATGATTCTCTTTTGGTAATTTTTGCCACCTCAACCACTCATTACCCTATGTAGAATACACCTTGTTTGTAAGCTCCTCAGCCTAATGACCCAGCAATTGTCGCACTTAAATTTATTTTGGTCCAACCTTGATATCTCAAATGCAAATATTGCAATGCAGCTTGTAAACAAACCTTAGTTCCTTTATCAATTTGTTTACTGTCTTTCTCTAACATATTGTCTAATTCCTCAATTGCTCGTTTTATACAGGCTTTATTATCATTCACATTTATTTCCACTAATTCAACTATTGAATCTACAGCATTATCAACCATTATTGTATCTCCATCTTCATCAATCACTATTGTATCTACAGCCTCATCAACCAAATTTGTTTTCATTAATTGCACTGCTGCATCTGCAGCTAAAAATTTATGAGTAGATGTCGAAGCAACATTAAACCTTAAAGAATTGGTTAAAGATAAGTAGAAAGTAATAGATTTTGTGTTTTGTGCTGCTTTTTTTAGTTCAGCTTTTTTTCGTCTTAATGTTCTTCCAGAATCACCATAATTATAAGTAGGTCTACCTGCAACTTTCCAAGAATTATTATTCCTAGCAGCTGCTAGTAAAACTTCAAAGTAACTATCAGTTTTTTCATTGATTTCTTTATCCACCCAAATATATTCATCAAGTTCTTCATTAACTGATTCATAATCCAATAAATCATTAGATTAATGCATTGTCTTATTTTTTTTTAAACACGCATACTCAGCTTTTGATTTTCTCGCAGCCTCAAGATGGCGTTTTCTTTTATTTGAAGGGGCATGATTAATATGGGTTAAATCCAATAAAAATTAAAACCGCAATCTCTTTACACAATTTTGTTATAATGTTTTTGGTGTTTTTTTTTTAAGAATTTATCGGGGGGTTTTTTTTTTCTTAGAAAAAAAAAATAAACTGGTCTACTTTATGACTTTATGACTTTATAAATATCAGTGATTTATAGATATATATGACAGGTCTACTTTATGGCCTTATGAATACCAGGGCTTCTGGATCTATATATCGTGGGACCCAAGTTCACAGAGTTCGTGCTATGTCTTGCACTTGCTTTATTATGGTATTTTGCTTCTTATTCCAACACTCGTAAATGATTTCAAGAAAATAAAGTATGGGTTCGATCTTACAGATCGAACCTTATCATTATTTATTCATTTGCTTTTATGCATTATTACATCACTTATCTGTCACAATTGACTTTAAAATTCTATTGTCTTGAATAAACTTCTATATTGCACCCGCAATTATGTAGATCTAGCTAAATTACGATTTTACCCCTGCAATAT